ACACACGCACAACCGCTTAGCCGATTATATATAGTAGGATCGTCATGACGCTCCCTCTGAGCGTTCTAGACACGCCTTTTATCGCAGAGGGTTCCAGTGGGCTCCCTCCATTTCATCTATGTCGCGCTTGAACCTACCTTACCTCCTTTACTGCCTGATCCACACTGCCATCGCGGCCAGATCTCCCAAGGTATCAGAAGTCCACATTTTCGATGGTTTTTCCATGGCCGTCCACGATCGCTCTGTGCCTTCTCCAGAAGGCGGGAAGTTGGTCTTCTTGATACTTAGCCGAAGCTCGCTTTCCACCACCCCTTCCTGCTGTGCCTTTTGTGTAGAAATGGAGATACAGAAGGCTGATCTAATTTTAATCTGTGAAACGTTGAGTGTTCTGATATAAAAGATATGCAAAAAAAATTACGACCAAACGGTAGGCAACAGTTAGCTGGGAATGGCTGCTACCGGCGTGAATGGTTAGAGGCCAGCGTCAGGTTTAGGCCACCAAACCAATCTCTTTATCATCTCTGTGTGTAGTTACGCCCCCTTAAAGATGTTGCTACGCTTAGAATCCCAAACGGCGCGCAATAAAGCCTTTTCAACTTTTATGAATATGTGAAGCTCAGTCATACACATAGCTTTACTGGTTTTAGAATTTGATGACCCTATGCGCCAAACTCTTTTTGTTCTGACCGCAATGGCAATGGACGTGGTCAAACAGCTGATACGATTGGCTTTGCTCCAAGCTGCAGGAAAGCAGGTACCAAACGGGTCGATTTTGGTTTCTGAAATCCGTCTTTTCTTTATCATTGTTATTCCTTTTCAAGGTGGATTTCGCCCCTAGTATCGATTTGGCCAGGAAACTGCGTAATGAGTTGTACGATCGCTTCCTTATTGTTTGATCTGAGAAGGAAAATGAGAACAAAGTATTGTGTGGCCGTCTCACATGGTCAGTTAATTTGCTTGATGACTATGTTCTTCGTCTACCACTATCATTCAGGTGAGAATTCTCGAGAGAGACAGTCGCACTTTATGTGAGAACGTGAAAACTTGGCAGAAGGAATACGAGGCTCTAGAGCAACAAAATGTGAGTGAACAGATGTGCCGTCTAAGATTATTGTTCAAATATGTGTTTTAGGCAGAAAATCCTAAAATAGCGGAACGGATCGCCAGTCAACTTCGCAACATTCACTGTGTGATGGGCGAATTCAGACGAACGTTAGGTCAGCTAAAGGAACCATCCAACGCGGCAAACACAAGAAGGGATGCCCCGACTCAGTGACAAATTCCACTTGCCTCTGTGGCTGCCACAAGTTGCTTCCGTTATTCGTTTAGTTTATTCGTCTCTCGGCTTTCTATGTAACAATACTGGTATCACTTTACTCATTCCCTTCTTCACTTTGTGTTTAATGTTCTGTGCAATTATTCGTCATTGATCGTTTTAATGATGTTTTACCGATCTATGTAATTTAAACAGATGAAGTTCTCTTACCGTTAGTTTTTTGTTCTCTTTCTATACACTCACAATAACCATTGCGGGGAGGGGAGGAGAGACGTTTCGTAACCCTACATATAAATAGAGTTCTTCGTAAAATTTCTGAAATCGGACCAGCGCCCAGCGTCGGGTTTCACTTACAAGTCGGTACTTTCAGGGCAGTCCGCGCTTTTTCAAGACGGCTTTTCGCGTGCTGTAGGAGCTCTCACCTGGGGCGGTATTCAATCCTTCCCCCAGGGGGATATATCCCCCTCTCTGATTCAATCCTCTGGGGGGACAAAAAAGGGTTGCGTCATAGGACCTAGCATACCTCTGTGTTTCTACCTGCCAGACAGTTAGAGCAGCGCGACCCCTCAGGGAAAAGTGCTTCATCAGTGGAGGGTAGTCGCGCTGCTCTAACTGTCTGGCAGGTAGAAACACAGAGGTATGCTAGGTCCTATGACGCAACCCTTTTTTGTCCCCCCAGAGGATTGAATCAGAGGAGGGGGATATATCCCCCTGGGGGAAGGATTGAATACCGCCCCTGCACTGCAATACAGTGTTCCACTTTCGCTGAATGGTCCCCTGAAGGCCTAAAAGAAAGGTCGAAAAAATATGTTAAAGGAATCATTCGCCTGAAATTCTTGCATTCTTTCTTGACATGAATGTGTCTGTTGTGATCACTGGAAACAGCACACAATTCGGAGAGTAGGTGATCAGTCGATGAGATTAAAACCGGTCAAAGCTCAACCACGTTTTTTTTAAAACCACTCAATGGGGCAGAACCTTTCCCGAGCATTCCCTATCACCTTATGTTCTCGGCTCATAGTGTACCAATGAGTTCGAACTTTGGGTGCACGCTACCAGCGAAACGCATTGAGCAACGTGTCGCGTCCATGCGTAAGCAAGGACAACGCGCTCCCCAGCGGAGCCGCGACGCAGCCGCCGAACGAACGCAAATGTTCACATTGCCGCTTAAGTGCTTGTTGCAGTAATGGCCAAGGTTATTGCATTAATGTTTTGCCTAGTTCAGCATTTACTTGTTTTTTCCGATTTTCTGCACATTGACAAACAAGTAAGATGGCACGTGGAAATTGAGCAGAGGTTTTGATAACGTATGATCGTAAGAATGAAGGGGTTACCCAGTGAGTTAGTTTACACTGTGAAATGAGTATTTTTGGTGCTTAGTGTATGTTGCGACACTATACAAGTGGAGTGGGCACGCTTCCCTTTGTTCGAAAAATGCGGCGCGCCCACCCTACTTGTATAGCACATATGTTGCGTATTCCTTAATCTTTTGCAGATTTTTCTAAACTCGTATGGCACAATCTGGTGCCCAGGCAGGATTCTTCAACGGTTTGTCAAAGCACCACAGGAATTTCACTTGGCCAGTGGGTAAAGATAGACAGGGACGGGGCTAGGGCAAAAGTCATGGTGTAAAAGGCTGGTATGCAATCTGCTGAAAGATTGGAATGTATATAGTGTTCCCACTACACCACCACCGCAATTCTCCGCGTTCCCCACTCAAGAAAAACATTCGAGAATTTCATATAAGAATGAGCTTTTCTAAAAATCGCAATCTACTATGTCATAGAGAAAATCAGGCGCGTGCTCTGGGGGGGGGGGGGGGCAGCTCGTAAGGCCTTGAAGGGCTCCACTAGAAATGAAAGTTGTCAACGCACTCTTCACTCCTCTTCTTTAACCCATTGCGGACCGCCGTTATAATTGCACCTCCGTAGGTTTTTGTCATCTGTTTAATCAGTGGCCAATGACCTATCAAAAATTTAACCAGTATGCAAATAAGTGATATATCCTGTGTCCAAAAAAGTAAACTGATGATTTTGTAACTTAGCAAAATGCTGAAAAAATCGAAGATTACTGTCCTTCTCCGCGTGGTGGCGTGCTGCACCATGTGCAGCACGCGGTCCGCAATGGGTTAACTGTTAGTCTCGAAACCGAGCGCTTCCGTGCACCTTGCGCCCGTTCCCTGGGCCGCTTCCTGAGCCATATGTGCCGAAAATCTCGAAAATTGTGTACTTTCCTTGCTGTTTCTAAATTCTCTGACGGCTCGATATCGCCAGAACGTCGGCTTCATAAATAGTTGTTGACATCAAGTTTTGAGCTGGACCATTGCCATCTTTTCTGCAATGTACATCTTCTTCGTAAGAAAAAGTCTTCCTTACTTACGAAACTGGCATTTAAGTTGGGGCGATCTTGTACTGGTGAAGCATTTCTACATCAAAAGATTTTATATTATGACTATAAACGCGTGTCAGTTTGGAGGGGAGGGCGCCTCAGAATGGAAGAGTAAACTTCATTTCGGACGGGGTGTTGAAGAGTATGTTCACCCACTGGCCGATGTCAGACTTTGCGATTGGAGCGATTTTGCACCAATTGTAGGAGCGACGGATCGCTTGAGACGATGGACACGGGCATTTAAAGATCCGATGAGCCGGACGCAATTATTCGCTCTAGACGGGACGGTTAAAATCACTCTGTGCTTAGGCCTGCAATTGTGCAAAATCAGCTCGCAATCGCACGTCGAGAGCATCGCGCCATCTAGGATAGAGAGAGGCGTATCTTGTGTATCTATTTCATCGGGTTTTGCGCGCGGAGATCTCTCCGTTCTCGAACGATCGCCTTCGTGGCATTCTGCGCACGTTCCCGACGCGCTCTAAGCCATATGTACCGAAAATCTCGAAAATTGTGTACTTTCCTTGCTGTTTCTAAATGGCTCGATATCGCCAGAACGAGGCTTCATAAATAGTTGTTGACATCAAGTTTTGAGCTGTACCATATTGCCATCTTTTCTGCAATGTACATCTTCTTCGTAAAAAAGTCTTCCTTACTTACGAAACTGGCATTCGGTAGGCATCTTGAGCTGGTGAGGTCATTCTACAATCACACGATGGAAACTCAAGTTCGGGGGGCAAAAGTCCATATGTCGTTATAGAGAGGCAGTCTCTGCTACGTATGCACTACGGATAAATAATAAATAACGACTCACCCTTCTACGATTTGTAAGACCGTGGATGTCCTACATTCCACAACTACTGCCCAATACCCATCCACATTTCGTGGCACGCAGTTTGATCCACCTGGAGCTCCTGCCCTGCTTACCCTTGCGCGAGTCTTTCTCCTGTCCAACCGTGCACTGTCATGCTGTTAACCCCGTTCAGATTTTGACCATTACACCAATATTTATCAGAAGTCTACTTTAAATGAGTCGATTACGTGTCGTGAGCGCTCTAATCCTTATCTTGAGTATTGGAGAAAAAATGGAGTGCCCCCCCCCAACTGGAGTTTCACCAAGATTCAGCATTATCCTATGAACGCCGTGCCATATGGAGGGAGGGCGCCTCAGAACGAAAATAGTTAAACTCATTCGACGGAGAGTGTTGAACGAGATTGTTACACGAGATGCGATGTGATGATAAAGGGTAAAGGCATGAAAAGAACTAGGCGCGAAAATAAGACTCGGTCAGGTATAGGAATAAGGATGTGAACAAGTCCACTGCCGATGTCAGACTTTGCGATTGGCGGCGATTTTGCAGCCAATTGCAGGAGCGACGGATCGCTTGAGCGATGCGAGCGACGGGACATTTACGAGCTGATGGCGCCGAATTATCGGTGGTCGGCCGTGTAAATCTCCCGTCGCTCCTGCAATTGGTGCACAATCGCTCCAATCGCAAAGTCTGACATCGGCCACTAGGACAGAAAGCGACTTTTTCGCGTTTCGCAGCGCGAAACATTTTTCGCTGCAGGAACCTCGGGTCCACTGATGATCAGCGGTGGACCTGAGGTTCCCGCAGCGAAAAATGTTTCGCGCTGCGAAACGCGGAAAATCGCTTTCTGTCCTAGTGAACCACACCTTCATGCAGCACGCTCCGACTGGGGACGCGAATTCGTCGCCGGCCGTAGATGACAACTCATCTCTGAGGCCGTAGGTATGCTTCCCCGAAGGGTTAGGGGACGAAAATCCCTTTAAATTTTCTCTGTCTCCCAACTGGGATTGTCCTGATAAAGGGCCTACATTTAATATATGTGTGTAGCTTAAAGTAAGCATGCATTGAAAATGAAGAAACAGTATCGTTCAAAACAAAAAATTTAAAGGGATTTTCGTCCCCAACCATTCGGGGAAGCATACCTTACGGCCCTTGGAGCCACTCCCCTTTCACTATCTCATTCTTAGTCTGATCCTCACATTTGCAGTCTTTTAGACTTGATCGAATTTTAGCACTGTCACTGCCCAGGCCTTTCCTTGCAGTGGATTTGGCCCCGAGTTTAGTAATCAGAAGCCTTGTAATCAGAGTAAAATGTAGCGTCTCATTTTTTCTTGCGATAGTGGCAAGGGGGTTCAGATAGTAATAAAACATTAGCCCCTCACCGTCACCGTGACTTACCAGGTTAGTTGAGTAGTTGAGTGGTTTAGTGGTTAGTTGAGCGAACGGAGCGTAAACAAGGATTTTTGGGGGACAGTTCAACGGTGTAAAAGTTCACTGGGATCGCTCTTGTCCATATCTGTAATTGCTTGATTTTTTTTTCTCGAAGTTTTCTTGTGAGGGTTTCTTTTTATATCTCAGATCGGAACTTCCAAGGCAACCTACCTTACTCACCACACCTTTCTAGAAAATCCATTCACAAAATGGATGACGGTGATGAGAATGTCATTCGTGTCCACCACGACAGCTTTGGGGGTGTGCGCTTGCAAAATGATATTCCGCCCGAGGTAGGTGAAATAGCGAATAATTCGTTTAGCCATTATGGTATAAATTGATGCTAGTTGCTTCTCCTAGTTACAGCTTTACAGGTGAAACGTGCTCTGTCAGAACAAGAGGAATGGCAGCTCGAACATGCCAAGCTACACGAAAAACATCGCGGGCATGAAGCAATGCACCTCGAAATGATGCTTATTCTCATTGTCACCTTAGTAGTTGCACAAGTGTTTCTAGTCCAATGGAAGAAGCGGCATTTTAAGTCCTACCAGGCGAGTTGCATCCAGAGTTTTCATCTTTTCTTAGTGATTTGATATGCTTTTTTAGCTGTGCACCCTTTTGGGCATGTGGTTGGTACCTGTATATGTTTGCGTTACACGTGGATGGTACAGATTTCTAGTGACTTGGTTCATTTATACAATTTGTTCAACTTGGATTTGGCGGAAATCTACAGAGGATCACATAAGTGGAACTACGCCCAGGTAAGTCAGAAAAATGTTGACAATGGTATTGTGATGATCTTGCACGATCCCTCCACGGTTCACCATCACCTATCTGCTCTTCTCTACCTCCCTCCTCAATTAACTTCTCGCTGAGTAGCGTTCTGAGGGAAGTAGTGCAGGAGATTGTAACATTATCAGGAAAAATTCTAATCTGGAAGTTTACATCTAGTCTAATTTTTTGAATGTTAACCGTTGAATACCGATCTCCTCAGTACGACTGCCCATCGATTAAAGTCCTCGATGGACGCTCCAATTGGTCACTGGTCAGGTTTGAGTGTTTTCGTGAGAACTTTGCCCTTGAATTAAGTGTGGGCTCTTCCAAAAAAGGGAAAATGTAAGAGCTTCAAAGAGGGAGAAGTCTGATGTACACATCGTAGCAACGAAGCGGTCACGTATTCCATGCAAACTGTCGCTAGCGGCTATTTTTATACGTGCCACATTACGGCATCCCATCAAATTCTTTCTTGTTTCAGGATAGTGTACAAGTGGTTTCTTTTTCTGCATAAGCTCAGCTACGTGCTAGGGATCGCGGGATATATTATAATGATATTCACCCTAATGGGTCTTAATTTTATCTTTGGTCTGCAGTCTACTACGTGCATGGACACAGGTAGCGAAGTTCGATTCGGTTATGTTTGTAGTATAGAAAAATTAGCAAGAAGATTCCTTTTAAATCATGCTAAGCTTGCAAAATAAGCTCCGAAAACTGCGAGGAACTTCATAAGAACCAGTTTTTCGTCCTACTGTAACTGATTCACTTTGCGTTTCAGGCATATTATTACTATTTTATGGCCTGTATTACGGTGTTCTGGGTCGAGACTTCGCTCACATCTGCACCGATCGGATGGCATGTAAGATTGGGGTACGTTGGTTCTTGCTTTTCTTCTATGACGGCATTTCCGATGTGGACGTTTTAATTGTCATTCTTTAGTATTTCACTCACGATGGCCTTCCCAAGAAACATTTGGATGACGGCGTGTGCGCTGTTTGTGATAATCGTTTAATAACAGCCAATGCCAGCAATGCAGAAGATGAGGACGCAGAAGAGGAGAAGACTTATCGGTACTGTTCTGCTTGTTCCCTCCTAAGACTGATGTCAGGCTTTGCGAATCCAGCGAATCGTTTGTAGCGAGTTCGTAGACTCGCTGAATTCGCAAAGTTTGACACCGATCTAGATCGTTTATTCAAGTGTGACTCACGTTGCAGTGTTCACCAAACAAGGGTGCATTGGGTTCGCCGCAGTTTCAGATGATCCGCAGTTCTCTACCTTTTTTATGATTGATTTTCCAGTGCTTTTCAGTTCTTTTCCTGCAACTTATTCTGTGAGTTCGGCATTTTTAATGGTTTCAGGTTATCATGTGGGCATATATTTCACGAGTTCTGCATTCGTGGGTGGGTGGTCGTTGGAAAGCTCCAAACATGTCCATACTGTAAAGAAAAAGTCGACCTGAAGAGAATGTTCAAAAATCCGTAAGTTTTTGTTTTGAATTGTCTCTGCTTTTCGATAGAAGTGTTTATTTCAACTCTTCACGAGGCTCTGTATTTTCTTAATGCGATTTTGTAGTTGGGAAAAGCCACACCTCTTTTATGGGCAGCTCTTGGATTGGATTCGGTACCTCGTCTGTTGGCAGCCATTGATAGTTACTTTTGTACAAGGCCTCAATCATATACTTGGGCTCGAGTAGCTGCTGATACTTTAGTGATTTCCATGTCAGTCCATCCTCACTAATTATATTTTTCTTATTTTTCGATGACTTTTTTGCTCTCGTTCTCCATCACGTTTGCCGAATGTATTTGTTATGCCAGTGTTTTCTCCTGTGAAGGAATACGTGCAATTTTAAGCCCATTTTCCTCAGTTCTAACTAATTTATTCTGTTGTGATTGTCGTTTTCTCTGGGTTCTTCACTATCCCAGTGTGCATAATCTCAAGTAATGTTGCAATGGTTTCGGCATTTATTGATCGTGTGATAAGTTTCTTTCTATTCTTGCCTGCTTTGTACACGAGAAAATTAGTCAGGCCTCTTTTTCTTTCATTTTTTAGATTAAACGATATCTCGCCCTTTTACATATACTCTAAGAATTCTATGTGTGTTGTTATTATCTTACAAAGGCTGTATTGAGTTCTGACCTTTTGCGGCATGTCTAACTAACAGGCTTTTCTAGTTTTTTTTTCTAACTGATTCATCGACTCACTTGTTGCCAACTAGTTTTTTTTTCATGGTTCTATTCGTGGGGTTCCACACGGCCGCTTCTGTCATAGTAAGTGCCGTGTATTTCAGGTTTGCGTTCGCGGTGTTTGTATAGTGGAATGCATGAAAAGGATAAATCTTGCAAAGAATTAAACGTCAATATACTTGAATTTATTGCTTACTTTTGCATTAATACCTATGTTTGCCGCCAATTACCACGATATTTCTCATAATATATCGCCTCATATGCTGAAGCCATCCAATTATAGGACCTGGGAGATGTCAACAGATATCAAGAAGGAAACAGATCTCAAGAAGAAGTGAGTTCTTTGCAGTATCGAGGTGTTTTCTTTCATACCCTTGTCTCATACGTTTGTTGTCTTCTTCGGATTTCTGAATTAATTCCCTCCTCGATAGTTAAATGCGTGTGATGCATTTTGACTTTCAGGCAGTATGGATTGGTTCTTTCTAAGAAAAAGGAGAAGGCAATTGTCCGTCCTGTGGCCAGCATTTTTGCAGATGATGACGACGATTCTGAGAAGGTACTTATTCGATCGTGAATTATTTAACATTAACATTTCACATTTATTACGCTCAATGGTGTGCTACATGAAATGTCACTGAATCACAGCAGCATAGGAAAAGACCCGCAACAGAAATTAATGAAAATACGAGAGAAAAGAAAAAAACAATCGCAAACAAATGCAAACACCACAAATCGTATCAAATCAACACAGCCACAACACGTTCACTTAAATACTAATTGTAAGTGAAAAGGAGAGAGGATGGGATTACTCAGGCATAAGCTGGTTGCAAGAAAGTGAGCAACAATAAGCAAGGAAGTAAATGAAAGCTCGAGCGCGAAATTATATTCAAGAGTACAAGGTATGTTAGAAAGCTTAACGGTTTTCACGCCAAACTGGGAAAAACGAAGCGATCAATTTAAGGGGAAAAGAAACGTAACGTAGCCGAGTATATGTATTTCAAGGAATAGAAGAAAGTAGAATGACCACTGTCAACTTCAAGTGCGCATTAAAAAAGGAGCTTGTAAGGTTACTTCACACGCCCCGAACAGCAGTCGCCCGAGGAATCGCCTGCATCAATCGGCAATGATGCCCTTTCGCCTCGTGCGGGGTCATCGGGGCTCGCCGAATTTCGAAACATGGGTATACCGACCACCATTATTAGTTAAGACTATGAATTTATATCGTATTCTCCGACTTTCTCGTTTCCGTTTATTTTCTTTTTTTGGAAACTTTTTGAGATAAAGTACAGTAATTGTGAGGCACTTGCTGTTAAAGCAGGCGAAGAAGCATTCCCCGACATCCTCTTGGGTGAGGACATGGGGATGGGGGGAAGTAGGCGATGTAGAACTCTTGTGTTGTTATCTTCCCGGACGATTTTGGTACCAATTCACAGACTCTAGAAGGGTGCAAGACCTAGTTTATCTGGACGGCGGACGACCCAGTATTTGATCCATAGAAAGTGCGCGTAGTAAGCAATGTCACTTGCCATTGCACTGCTTCCGCTCATACTGCAGAAACGTTGTATACACATAGATTATCGTTGAGCGAAATGGTGACCTTGCCAGAATCCTGATCATCTTTACCGCGCTAATTCTTGGACGGGTCTACATGAGTAAGGCTGGAGTCCGAGTCCGCGATCCGTCGCATGTTTCGCGATTTTCGCGATTTGCGCGAAACCTGCGACGGATCGCAAAAATTGCAAGTGCCCATTTGAACATTTGAAGCACTGAATATGAAACAAGCAACACAGGAATCATGGATTGGAGAACACCTTGCAGTATTGATCGGGCACTTGTGATTTCCGTGACCCGTCGCGTGAATCGCGCAAATCGCGAAAATCAGCGAAACCTGCGACGGATCGCGGACTCTGACACCAGGCTAAGAAAGAAATTATTGAAAATATCTATTTCATGGAGCGGGTTTTCCATGCGATTTCTCAGACGATTGCAATATTTCTGGATAGTGATGTTGTCGTGAGGCGGACGTGGTTTTCAGCACCCCAGATCGTACCAACAAAGGTTAACTGAGCCAGTCGCGCATCTGAGGCCAGTAAGTCGATATCTGATCAGTGTTCATGGGTTACCACACTGACTCATCCATCGCCGAATCCTCGTAAGCTCTTGTTCAGGTAAATTGAATTCGGAAATAAAAGCAAAGCCAGCTTTACAGTCTGAACCGAAATAGAACACATAGTTCATTTCGAGTGTTGACCAGTCTGGATCATTTCATATTATTTTCATATTATTCGCAGGAGAATGTTACGAAAAGAACGAAGGGAACGAAGGTCGAAGAAGGGGAAACTTTTTTCCTGGAGAGACAGGCGGACCCCCCCCCTAGGGTGCGGACCAACACGCAATTCGCATCGAAGGATATGCTCCTGGCGATCTAGCATGGCCTTCCCTTTGGCGCAATTGGCCCAGAACGCCCACCGACTATCTAATCTCGCCGCAGTTGACGAGAGTTGCATCAATACGGAAACCAATGGGCAGAGAGGGGTTCCCAGTTCTCGGGTTCCAGGCCTTTTCCTCATGGTTTCTTTTTCATCCACTATCATCATTTCACCAGCACCTCCCTCATTTCCAATGAGCTATCTTTTCGCCGTGAAATCCTTTAATTTTGCACTCCGTCTAATACAGAACCGAAGATCCTTTCAGATTGATCACATATTTATCACCGCATTTGTATCGTTTTTGGTTCGTTCATAGGAAAGAAATAATTTTACCTGCTCACGAGTCATTAGCGGTAAAATTCAGCTTTTCTGTGAGAAGTTCACGTGGTGTCAACGATACTTTCTTTCAAGAAAACAAGTATTGTTCTATCATTTTTGTGCCAACGATCCGATAGTTGTTGTATCTGCTCAAAATAACATTCGGTGCCATCCAATACAACTTTGCAAATCTTAAACACTTCGAATTGTCAGATTTTCCCAGCGACAACCAAGCGGGACACGAAGCTTTACGTTCGCTTGACATCGATTTCTGATTCGAACGGCAGTACGCATGGATCCATCAGAAACAAAAAATTCCAAAATTAAATTTACAGCTCGCATGGGCTTTAGGGGAACGACTCGTCTCGCTGCCGTTTAGGTCAACTGTCTTCCAAATCTTAGAGCTCCTTATTAAGCTGGATTCAAACCCTAAATGACAGGCATAAATCTAAGCTTGCTATTTCTTTTTGAAATTCGCTCTGTTTTACAGGTCGATGTCTCAGGCAAGATTCAATCAGCTTCAACACTCCGAGTTCAAAAGCATGCCGAGCGACTGCAAGAGATGGCAATAGCAGAGGATCCCACTATTTTCGATTATGATGCCAGCTATGACCAAATTCAAGCTGCGCGCGATGAAAAAGTACGTTCTCCAAATATTCGTAACTGGGTAGCGAATTCCTGAAGAGACGCTTTTTCATTTTTTTTTATTTTCCTACACTATATGCTAACTATTACGTACAAAGATTGCCGAGCGAAAGAAGGCTGACAAAGAGCGAAAATCAAAGTATGCATTGGATATAATCAAAGCTCACAAAAGAAGAGAACTAGAGCAACAAAGTCGGGAAGAACGACAGCAGCAGAAGGAGAGGGTGCAAGAAGGAGATGAATTTGCGGACAAAGAGGTAAATCTATTCATTATATTGAGTTGTCTCATAATTCCTGTCTCACTTCTATTCAAATTCAAATTTCTTCCGTCTAAGACCGTTTCATTGCGAAATACGTTAGTATGTTGAAGTATGCTTCAAGAGCCTTAACAGCGTGGTTTCGGAAGAGCAAGCCCGTAACGGGTTAATCAACTAGGAATAAAAATAGGTCAGTGACTATAATGAATGATTATGCTTTACGATCCTCAAATGAACTCTGTAGCAAGGAGGACAACAGAGAAGATCAGCGCTGTGTTTGACTCAGTCTCTGCTACTGATAGGGTACTGAGCTAGTGGTCCAATCGCAACGGCAAAGACGAAACGAGCTATGAACTTCAACCTCATACTGGGCCTGCGGTCATTTTTGATGAGCGCCCCTTGCACCCTAAATTGGGAGTGCCTCCGGACGTTGCTACCAGGGTATTGTAGCAGATACCTGAGCGCAGCCGATGCACCAGCACACGCCATCAGTATGGCAAAGGACTGCTGCAGAATGAAGTTTGATGGAAACCTTATGGTCCGGCCGACCATGAGCGAGAAGCACGCCTGACCATCTGGGGAAAATTCATTCTGGGACGGCAAAAGCAGAGCCTTCCCTAATCGGTCACCAGTGGAGATGAGTCATGAGTCCACTGCGACAACAACACGCGGCACGCCGATTCTCGATTTATTGTATTCGCTGGGTGGCCTGGTTTGGGAACCACTTCAATGTATGAAGACAAGCATTGCTAAAGTCAGCGCGGAATAGCCCTCTAGGCTGGCTTCGGGGTTGCGAGGGAATCGTCAGAAACGTCTCAGATCTCCTTTCTCCGAATGTACACCAGACCTCACATTGCAATGCCAACTCACCACGTTCTGAGGGAGATAGCCAGGGCCACGATACCTCATCCACCATATAGCATTGGCATCGCTCTATCGGACTATCGCCTCCCCTGCGCCTGAATAGCATCTGCCAGAGAAGAAAGTTAAAGATTGCGACCACCCCAAAAACGACTTCTCCAAATTCTTCAACCCCCAGCTTCCTTCATTCTAGGCGGAAAGCTTCCAAAGGTTTCCTAGCAAATGCATGAGGATCAGTGACCATGATGGTGGTGGGTGCGGGACTTTTGGTGCGTCCGGGGTTGCACGCGGCGAATCGCGCGGCGGGCTGCGCGGCGATCCGGACGAGGCAAGTCTTCGCGGGCTCTGCAGTGGAATTCAACACGTCAGAACGTGTGCAGATCGCGGATAGAATCCACAAGGTTCTGCTTTGAAAAAAACTTCCCACTCGCGGAGATCGGTGAAATGCAGCGGTGTCAGTGAGGAAAATGCAGCGGAGAAGTGAGGAGATTACAGCGAAAGGAGATGAAAGAAAGAAACTTCATAGGAATGTCACTATTATCATATTATAAATTTTAATACAAAACAAGGCCAATGGAAGGTAACATTAAGCTCAGAAGAGAAATACGCTCGGGACAGGAATTGCTCACATCCTCCACGAGAAATTCTTCCCCTCAGGCTTAGTCCCAAACACAATAATTGGTTGATCTCTCATGGGATTCCCCCCCCCCCTTAACAACAAGCGCCAGCAACCTAAGCGCCCTGATTGCTATAACAGCCTTTTGCTATTCCTTTTCTTCTCTTCCTGCCGCTGCCTTTGAATATCCACGCGTTGGAATGTAATTCGAATCGCAGAACCTTGTGGATTCTATGCACTGTTCTGACGTGTTGAATTCCACCGCAGAAGCCCGCGAAGACTTGCCTCGTCCGGATCGCCGCGCAGCCCGCCGCGCGATTCGCCGCGTGCAACCCCGGACGCACCAAAAGTCCGTCGCCCGATGGTGGTTATGCTGCTAATCAATTTCTTACTAGAAGAGATAAAACTTGAACAAACAAAAGTGTCAAAATTGAGACAGGGGTTATGAGACAACCCCATTTCCGTTATTGCCTTTAGCTTCTTTTGAGTTTCCCGGGGAAAAGGCACGTTCTCGTGCAGAAAATATTTCATAGGTTTCGTGTTTTAGGTTTTCGTGACTGGTGCATATCGCAAACAAATGGAAGAAGTGCAGAAGTTTCGAGAGGAAGAGGCTTACGAAAAGAGATTTAACGGTTACTTCACTACTCCTGATTTTCTTAACACCTTGTTCCTTTTTGAAGATAGTAGTAGGCGCGACTTTATTGCTTAACGAATCTGTAGCTCTTGTAGAACTCACATCGGTGGAGCATCAACAGGCGTGGCAGGCTGGCTTTGGGCGTACTTTGTTGAATGAATTAGCCAGAGGAGAACAGAGTCTGATGCAAAAGGGCTCACTTCACAATGACGAGGAAGGGACCGTTAAAAGTGCCAAGGATAGGGAGACTGCAGCGAATAAAACGAAGATTCGCAACATACGTCGCAGGTGTTGTTGAATTGTTTTTCTTTCTTTGTAAAAACATTTTTTCTTTATGGTTTCGACCGTACTGTCAATTATTTTTTTCAGAAACGTCAGTGATCAACAGTCATCCGAAGAGGAAGAGGAAACTTCGAAGAGCTCCAAAACAAAAACTGCGGAGAAGAAGTCGATTTATTCCGACGACGAAGATGATAGTCAACCAAAATTCGAGCCACCTAAGAAAAATTTCCCAGGCGAATTGAAGCCAGGGCTGAATCGGGTTTGTTCGCAACGCTACTTAGCTTACAGTAAAGGTTCTTATGGACGGCATGGCCATCTGAATCATTGTGATTATACAGGATGGGTATAATTATGGGAACCACTGAAACACACAAACTTCGGGTTCTTGAGGCTATACTCGCTTATGCTATTTTTTGTGTCCTGAATTTCTGGACTCCTGTACTATCGTGAAACGCCTAAATGGTCCGATTTTTCATCCAAACATCTCTTCATTCTTAAGTTATCACTGACTGTGAGTTGTACCGACAAGGTGTTTCGCAGCGTCACTTCCAGAAGCGTTCCAAAAGAGGTTCCCATCATAAAGTGGAAGCAGATTTCCTAAGGGCGGACGATGCACGTTTGGCAGCAAAGGGTGTGCCGCTAGCGCACTAGCGAGGCCTCTGCTGCGCTCACGGCTATCCACGCCCACTTACTGGCTATCCCCTGGCCATCGGACTCTAACCGTTTTACCAGAGAAGCAGAGCAAAGAGTTCACGTTGATTAGGTCCTCTCATTGGTCTCTTTTCGTACGATATTATACCGTAAGAATTGCGGCTGACCATTAACCAATAAGACGTGCACCAGTGTTTGGGCTGGTGCCGCCCATGGTCAATTTTCATGATTATTTTGTGGTGTTTTCACCTTTTTCGCAGTCTTGGGCTAATTCGTTTATGCTTTGTAGAGTAGACGTGAAGAGTGCCTGTGAGATGCCACTTCTAGCTGTTATGCGAATTAAAATAGAATAAAAAAACTATTTTAGTTTTCCTGTAATATCACTCAACAATTTGTCCTGCAGTAAAACTTGTAGAAAGTCTTGTCATGTAGCTTTTTCATAGATTTTCCGATATTTCCGATTTTTTGCAGGTAGTGAAGGCTCCAACGAAATCGGAGAAACTGAAAGAGCGTCAATTCACTCCCACACCGCCGTCTTCTGATAATGAGGATGTGCACTATCAAAAGAGAAGAAGGGAAAAGACTGAACAGAAACTGGATAAGCGGCGCATAAGTAACGATCGCAAGGAGAGTGCGGAAGTGAGTTCCTGGGCAGTTTTATTATCTTTTTCTATGAGAAATACGAAGTTTATGCGGATTTGCAGTTCTATGTAGTCTACAAATTTCCTCATTTTTTTTTACATTTTTCAGTCGTTGAAGAAAAGAATAGAACCAAAAAAGGATGACAAGCAGATGCGTTTGGTCCGTTTGAAGGAGATTTTGAAGCAGCGTAATGGTCCAGAAGAAATCGAGGAATTTAGAAAACGTTATCTAGAAAGAAAGGAAAGCGGCGTTGTTGTACCTCCTTTGTAGAGTTGTTGTGCCTGTATATAGCGGCAATTTTATTGAAATATTGAGGAATATCGAATTCTGCTGCTATTTTTTTCTGCACAGCAGGATATGTACATACGGTTATTTTCCCCAGGAATAAATATCTTGAAAATAAATTCCTTAAATAAAGTGGTTGAGTTCGATCAGATCCTTGCCGCCGATACGCCACAGATATAAATTTTCTATTCAAAATGGTAGAGCTGTTTGAATGCGTTCTTTATCAATTCAATGCCTTGAGTAATCTTTTCAAGTCGGTGATTCAATTTTTAAAGGCAGGTGATACCATAAATCGATTGATAAAAGAGGACATATTTGTTTATTTTTTATTTATTTGTTTATTTATTTATTTACTATTGCACTCAAGGTGCGCCTAAGACAATCGGCGTGCGTATAAATACAAAGTTGACTGCTAGAAAAATTCAACACACGCCTAGATTAGCGACCTAACTATGCAGAATGTGTCCGTAGGAAATAATGAATTTGTCAGCATTGGCGACCCTTGAAATATATCTACTGTAGAGGAAGGCGTGTTTCCTAAAGATCGGCACGAGGTGCATTCTGGTGCGAAGGAGGCGTTTCCATCGGTCCAACAAGTAAGAGGGCCTCACTTGCAGCGCTGAACCCTCTGCATGGCTATCCACGCCCACTGATTAGCTAAATCAGCTGTTGGTCTGTCACCTTCGTACCTCACCTTCTCGGAAGGTCTTCCATGCCAAGCTTTTTGAAAACGGTCTTTTGCATGATATAGGGGCACATGCGGGAACCACAGAACCATGTTCATTTTTCCTGAACGGCCCTCTGAATACCAGAAAAGGGGTCCCTAGTTCGATTCCTCGTGGTGACAAATTTTTGCATTTCGAGTTGACGTTCCAAAATTCGCGCAAAATGGAGTTAGCATGAATAATTAGTACCATATTCATGATTAGGACCGTCAGTAACCCTTACAAAAAGACTTTGACTTAAAAATTGGTGTAAAAGGTGTGACACCAAGCAGCCCCACTGTGGTGTCACACCTTTTTCACCAGTTTTTTAATCAAAGTCTATTTGTAAGGGTTACTGACGGTCCTAATCATGAATATGGTACTAATTATTCATGCTAACTCCATTTTGCGCGAATTTTGGAACGTCAACTCGAAATGCAAAAATTTGTCACCACGAGGAATCGAACTAGGGACCCCTTTTCTGGTATTCAGAGGGCCGTTCAGGAAAAATTAAACATGGTTCTGTGGTTCCCGCATCTGCCCCTATATCATGCAAAAGACCGTTTTCAAAAAGCTTGGCACGCCCTGAAAGACCTTCCTGGTTAGCTGTTTTAGCAGAGAGGGAACACAGAGAACCAACGGGCCCCACCCTAACAGAGAAAATGCGGGTCCCGATGTGCGGACATAAAGACAGAACCTAGGCAGATGTGTTAAAGTTTTCCCTCGGTGTGTTGGATAGAACCCTAGAACACAATAGCGTGGAACTTCCGCGGCTGGAAATCGCTCGACAAGGCCTCTAGGGCCTTGCAAAGTTAGCTGAAACAGCTACATAGTCCAGGCTACTGTCAGGCGCCCTCTCATCTGTTGCGCTCTCTCGTCTCATACTCTCCTTTCTGCTCTCAGTCTCTCATTTGCTTAACACAGCCTCATTGCGAACGTGTACAAGCCCTAACTTCGGGAGTTTTGGCATTCTTTTTTTTTTCTTTACTGCCATCCCATTTCATACCAATATTCTCTCATGATTATGTGCAGAACCCCACCATTCTCATTCTCTCACCATTTCCTGAGCCATGCTTCAAGGCTGTTTACCTCAGTCTGTTCTGCTGCACTTCTCATGGTTAGTAGCTGTATTTTCATTTCCAGCGTGTAGCCCTTCTCGTATACCTCGCTTTGATGGATAGCGTCAGCTTGACGTGGGTGTGAGGCCTGAATAGCTTAAGTGGGTTCAAAGTAAAACGGCCGTCTCTCGACATTCCACTAGTGTTCCAAATGAATATGTTGGGAATGCTCTCCAAGGCCGGACTAAACTCACACAGAAGAAAGCGAGAGAATCTTCCTACGTACGAGGGAAGGGGTTTTTTGGAACTATTCGAAGATCAGAGCACATGCCGAAAGAAAAGCGTAGAGCATTTGGCATTGTATAGTTGCCGCGCGATGGGCCATGTATTCTCTTCCATTCCAAAATCGTAGCACCATGTGAATTTGATGCGACCTATACAATGCTGGCTGGAGTTAGCCAACGTTCGTACAAATCAGAGTTCTTATCATCACAGACGAATTTGTTCTTAGGCAACTAAATACACAAGAAAGACTTGAACTAACTGAGCAGGGCTAAGTCGTGAATTTTATCTTGGGGCCCTTCTCGTGGTAATCGGGGTCATTTGCCGTTATTCCACCTCTTATTAAGGTAAGGATCACCAGATAATTACCCTAAAATCCCATAGATAAGAGCGGTCCATAGATATTTTTTCAAAAAATAAAATAAAAATAAAAATATTTTTTCAAAATCATTTTTTACCGGTAAATTAAACCGCTCTTATCTATGGAATTTTACTGATCGAATGGGCTCTTCAAGTTCTATCCAGAGATCAAATTCCGGCATTTCTAGAGAGATTCCGGCAGAAATTCCGTTAAAATCGCTATTTTTCTATATGAATTGTTTATTAAGTGGGCGGGGTTTAGAGTTGAGGGACGGAGCTTCTTCTAAACTTCTTCTCCGATTTTTATTTATCCATCCATCAAGTTAGAGGGGTGACTGCATTCAATTTCAATTTCATTCCAATTCATTTTTCACCGGTAAATTAAACCGCTCTTATCTATGGGATTTTAGGGTACTCAAAGAGAGGCGCGGTACAGCTTGAATCTTTTCCTTCAATAGCAGCGCTTGCTTTTGGCACGATACTCAGAGGTCTTGACTAGAAAGCTTAGCCGTTCCAATGGATTCACAACACAGAGCATCTATTATATGTATTTTCAACCTTTCCTTTGGAAAATAGGATTTTTCCATCAGTAGTTTTTGACAAGCGACCGCCTGAAAAGGAGCAATCTGGCCTTTTTTCAGCCGGTCTCGCGAATGTATCTTTCAAACGTGCACGTGATGAGTCATGAGAATCGTACAAAACTTCCTTAATCTGATTAGGTTGAATCACTATGCAGTGTAAACCAAAGTATGATTGCAAACTGGTTTTTCTGGCATTTCATGCCATGAATTCTGTCATATCTTTATTGTTTCTTTTAAACAGACGACAATAACGCCCATAATCCATGAATAATAGTGGGGTCGGCACCGATGAATGTGTGCGCCATGCGCCCCTATTCCACTGCTAATCGTTGAAGAATTTGTATACGCGTCAAAGGCGCGACTCAAGATCGGACTGATCTTGCACATGATTATGAAAGATTTGGTGTGAAGTGGTCCGACAATAAAGAGTAAAGGATAAAGGATAAAGCATTTGCCGTTGATCAATCCCTTTTTGGGATGCGGCACGCATTCTACTTCCATTTGTACATTCGTAGTGGCGTTTGAATGCGATGTGGCCTATACAATGACTTGCGGGGCCAGCCGATGTACAAGTCAGTGTTTTTATCCTCCCAGACAAGTCTGGTACCAATTAACCGACCCCGGAGGGATGGAAGGCTTGGTTGGCCCGGGCGACTCACGACCCAGGATTTGATCCCCGGACCGCTCGCGTGGTAAGCGTGCCACTTGCCACTACACCACTTCCGCCCTGAAAAGAATAAAGAATAAAAATAGAATCCATCGAAAGCATTGAAGTCAATCCCCCCATGTTTAGTCTCCCACTACGCTAAGACAATGAGAGACTGAGCATGGGGGATAGTGGATGGGCGAGGAAGCGCAGTGGATTAGAGAGTGCAGCATCAGCACGCAGTGTTCCAGGACAAATAAAAGCGGTGGAAGAGGTACTTGCATGGCCTTAAGTCCTTCTCAGCGCAAATTAGAACCGAGAGGGCAGGATATGTGACCTTTGTGAACAACTCTTTCCCACTTACCAGCAGAACTCTCCACTTGTCTCCTCCTGGGTTGTGTCTTTAAGAATATACAACATCTTGATAGACTGGCCTACGTCAAATTACTGAAGAGACTAGCCCACGTCAAATTAGTGATCTAATCACCACTCCAGATGAGAGTGCTGCCAACTGAATCCACCTCAGTGGGATGTGAGCCTCGGCTTGTGCAGCTCTCCAGAAAAAAAGAAAAACCATACAGGGCTACCAAAGGCAGTGATCATGCTGGAGAACATTGCAGTTCTGATAATGTCATTAGAGCCATTGGCTTAAAGGCCTGGAAAGCGGTCTCAGCCGTACCCTAGCGTGCTGGGGTCTAGTCCACCAATGACGTCTAACTTCGACGTCAAAACGGGTGTGGTTCACTAAGACAGAAAGCGACATTCTCGCGTTTCGCAGCGCGAAACACTTTTTCGCTGCAGGAACCTCAGGTCCACCGCTGATCATGAGTGGACCTGGAGTTCCTGCAGCGAAAAATGTTTCGCGCGCGAAACGCGAAAAATTCGCTTTCTGTCCTAGTGAACCACACCCCTGCACTGCCCTCCAGCCATCGTGACCCTGCTCTTAAAGGATAAAGGATAAAGCATTTGCCGTTGATCAATCCCTTTTGGGATGCGGCACGCATTCTACTTCCATTTGTACATTCGTAGTGGCGTTTGAATGCGATGTGGCCTATACAATGACTTGCGGGGCCAGCCGATGTACAAGTCAGTGTTTTTATCCTCCCAGACAAGTCTGGTACCAATTAACCGACCCCGGAGGGATGGAAGGCTTGGTTGGCCCGGGCGACTCACGACCCAGGATTTGATCCCCGGACCGCTCGCGTGGTAAGCGCGCCACTTGTCACTACACCACTTCCGCCCTATCACTGCTCTTGAGCTACTATAAATATTCACTTAGAGAAGCGACCCCAGATGGGTCCATACTTCTGCCACTGATGGGGTAAAGATGCATGAGCCTCAGTCGAGAATATATGAAGGTCGCTGAAGTAAAAACTCACCCTGAAAGGCCGCTATGAGAAGTTGGATAGGTGCCAACTTGGGTCTGTCCGCCATATGGTCGGCACGCCTATTTCCTGGCCACGGAGATCGCGTTATTGACAGCGTGGACGGGTGCGATAGTTTGGGAACTACATGAACTCGATCCTTCAAATTGGATGCTCCCGCCCACGATTGCCTGGGGAGCAAGCAAGTGCACAACTCGTTCAGCCCCGCCCTTTGCTATTTCCAGGAGGAACCGAAGGAGCCTTGTTTAAGGGCTTCATCGACGGTTTTCTTGGCTTCTTTTTCCATTTCCGATCGATTCTGCATCCACAGTTCCATTGCCAACCACCCTTTACCCCAGCAGTTCGATATGAGGTGGTTTCCTTGATCTGAGAAGAAAAAACAACACATTTGCCTCCATCCCTCTCCCGGCTTTTCGCAAAAATTCTCAGCTCTGCCCAATCTAATAGCTAAAAGGAAGCGTAGGCATGAAGAAGTAAATCTTAATCAATACTTCACTCGAATATGGCACCGATCCGATTCCCGTTTTAAATTGTAGAGACAAGCAAATTTCGATGCTTACAGTGGCCGAAAAAGAATTTAAGGTACTAGTCCATGGTTTCGTTTTCCATGACCGGTCTGGCACCAGTGATATCCAATGAGGGGCGAGAAGCTTGGTCGGCTCGAAGGTTCAGATTCGGTATCTGATTCCCGAATTCTGTTCCTGGCTACGGTGTCCATGACTTGACTTTGTTTCACATTCGAAAGCAAAGTTCAGCTTGCAGGCCATACCCTGTCCCATTGCACCCCATTTCTGATCAGGGAGGTGCATGGGACAGCTTTCCTAACATACAAAATCAACTGTTCTTTGTGCCATGTTTAACGGGGATCGCACTGGCGTTTTTTGAAGGTGGGAAAAATTCGTATTTCGGATCTTTGGCAGAAGGTCGGGGTGATGGAAGCTGAAGGGATCGTTTTCGTAGCGAAGGGAGTCCATTTTGAGACTGAGGTAAGTTCATAATTCGCAAGGAAAGTGCATGGAATGGGCAAAGTTATGCAGGAAATGTGATCATGAGTTGTATCCCCCCGTCCTCCAATTTTGGAAAGCAGATTCACATTAGCACATTGAGTATGTCATCTGGTGTCAGAGTCAAATACTGTCGAAATGCTTATAGCTGAGAGCTGGTGGTGGCGGCTGGTGGTTGGGAAAGAGCGCTATAGAAGGGTCTTACGAAGGAACCCCTCGAGTTGGTCGTAGGGAGAAGGGAGGTCAAGTCTAGGAATCGAGGTCTTCTCACGAGATTGGGTTGTGGAAGTTTTTTAAAGCCGGCACCCTTTTCCTACATGTGTTTGTTACCTGCAACGTGTGTAGGCGATCACTTCATTGACATGGATCGCAGATGTTTTCCGCGCTGGTACCATGGGTAAACAGATATGAGTTCGAATGAAGATATCCTACCCTAGCCTTTACACCTGGACTGACGAGCTAATCGATTTATTTCTTTAGGACTGGATACGCTACGCATTTTACCCTAATCCGAATCGAAGAGGCGATTCAAAGCATCTACAAGCCCTCATATCGCTGGGAACCTCATACCCTCATACCGCGATGCGACCGTGGACGCCAGCGAATCGCTCGATTCGCGAAGTCTGACATCGGCTTCAGAGAAGGAAAGGACTCTGTGGGAGGATGTGAGCGATTAGAGTTTCTTTACGCTTCTCCCCCTCTGGGGCTTATCGTTAGTTCTAGTGTCCCTTATCATCCGTGTCCCTTATCATCCGCCCTGTTTGAGAATCCCTCTAAGGCCATGGGGGCCTAAAATGGCCTACTGTAGCTGATTATGATAAGACATCCCAGGCAAAGTCGCCAGGCAAAGCTCTTGATAAACATGTACATCGGATCTTGAGGGTGAAAAGGCACCAGAAAACAGTCACCACTTATAAAGCACCAAGCAATCTGTGCTGGTGATCGATCGGTTCCTGTCACGCGCCACGCGTTGGTCTTCCATTCAAAATCGCAGTAGTATTTGATTTGGCTTGTGCAACGATCTGCAGCACTACCTGATGCCAAGTCCGGGTTTTCACCCTCCAGCCGAGTCTGGAACCAAGTAGCAAACCGAAACAGGGTGAAATGCTTGGTTGGTCTGAACGAGTCTCGATCCGAGCACGAACCTTCCCCCCCCCCCCCTCCCTCCCCAAGCACATTCGCGGTCAGTAACGTCACTTCCATTAGGCCATGTCGGCCCATCGGTCACCTAATTCATAAAAATTAACACCGCTAATCACCATTATGTCCACGTTCCATACAAAGAAAATTGGACTGTATAGACAGAGTTTATTGATTGAATCGATTTGAACGTTGAAGTGAAAAAGAACGATAATACAAAAAATCAGAAAAAAAATCAACTTCAACTAAATAACACATTTCAATGAAACATTGCGACACAGAAAATCAATAGCTATTCTTTACATTATGACTATGAAGTAAAGTTGCTGTAGTAAAATCAGGGAAAATGCGTATAGTACATATATTACACAATCGAATAACAATTGAAAAGTTTAGTGGGCATTTCCGGTGACAAGAGCGATCAGGCCATCTTTGTAAGAACCGGAGCAATCGCCTTTGATCATATTTTCCAACGTCGTTTTGTACATGGCCTAGAAACACAACATATAAGCCCGGATTAAGGAAGGATTTATCGATTGAATAATCGATAAATAACAAAATGGACTAAGATAATCGATAATGGCAAAGACCAAAGCTATACAATATTAGGAGGGCTGACCTGGAAGGCTGATCGAATGTCGACCATATCGTACTCACATCGGGTAACAACCAGTCGGATCAGATCGCTGTCCCGAGTGCCGAATCCCTGAAAAATGAACCTTTTCTTGACCAGTCCATGATTATACTGGCAAGAAGCGCCGTTATCACTTTCAAGGTCGGCGGATCGAATCCCTCCTGGGTCGATGAGCTTCTCGCTCTCTGGAGGTGGGCTAACTTTATCCCAAACACTTTATGCCACATGGGAAAAAATTATTACTCAGTGCTATAGTAAGATCCAAAACTCGTTCTACAAGCAGAAAACCCTTTCAAGCGTTGCCGCAGTAAAGAACACAAGTCGGAGATGTGGCGCAATCCCAATGCTTTCACTGATCGCTCACCTTCATGCTCTCATGGAGCAGCTTAGCGAAGTATGCCGGTCTGTTACGAGCGACGGCAATCACTGCAAGAAGGCCGTCTTTGACGTCACCGGAGAATTCAGCCTCAATGGCCTTTTCGATAGAGTGCTTTGTGACCTGAAGATAGTCACAGCTAAGTGAAGGCTGTTGTCAAAAATGGCCAAAAATATCCGCCGTACCTTCTCATATTCGTCAAAAATCAGTCGAAGTTGACTGAAGTTGTTACTGGCCAAGATCGCATTGAAACAACTCTCATCGGTTCCCAGGCGACGTTCACCAGCACTGTACAATTTTCGTGCGTCCTTTAAAAGTTGCGGTTTACGGTAGAATTCCGACTAAATGTTCAAAAATGTTTTAATGTCAACAAACCTGATTTGCTCTCAACTGATCTGTACGATTGGATTCATCTCTGCCACCAGCACACAATGAGACAAGCAGACGCTAAAATTTCATGAATTTTGAAAATATTACCGTATCTTTGCAGAGTGATTATCCTACTGTAGATGATTAGTTCCCAAAAGACATTTTATGAAAGGTTATGGTTGCCAGCAAGTTAAGCTTTCGTACTTCCCAGAATGGGGCGGGACTATCTTACCATTTGGACTGATCTGAGACGAAGACAGTTTAATTGAAAGCCAATGATCAGTTAAGCAAACCTGACGGCCTCTTCGTGAGGAAACTATTTAGCCCATTCAACCTACCAGAATCCAAGCTCTCCCACTCTTTTACTATTATAGATTTCCCTTACATTTCCTGGCCCCTTTAAACTGACAAAGATTGC